CCAAGCTCGGCGAACAACTGAACATCATATATATATATATATATATATATATATATATATTCACATTTCATTCACAATGTAGAAATTTATAGGCTGTCCCAATTGAACTCAACAACGAAGTAGTATCACAAGACGAGAGAATGTGCTTCATTCATCTAACGGTTATTGTATACAATTTAAGTTGAAAAGTAACAAAAAAGAATGAAGAAAATCCAAAATGAGATATGCCTGCTACACACCGTTTACATCAGATAATCGTAGTGTTTAGTCTGAGTCCCATTGTTACATACTTTCTCATCATCATCGAACGGTTCAATGAGGCAAGCTTCACTAATAGCTGTAAAGCTCACATCATACCCAAAGTAAGTGCATAGTTAGTAGACCTGTTTTGAGACCGGAGAGGAGAAGGAAGTGAACTTTTATTACCAACACAGAACACAGTCCATGCACACCTCTAAGTTCTCTAACCTGATGAGAAACGACATCAAGAACACCACTTCTGTCAATTTGCTATTTTGTTTTTCATTGTTTCCAAACAATAAGAGAATCCTGGAAGACGAGAGGCACCTACCCTACCCAGCCTCTCCATGTCATTCGTTAAATTCCACGTGATTTTATTAGACCTGGGGCAATAATTGCGAACACGACGTGATGCGCTAGACGAGTATTGATCATGCGCAATAAGTATTCTTACCAGAAGAGTCTACTCATTTGAATTTGGTGCAACAACGCGTTGTCCGTTGGAAAATTCCCAAACATCACAGTTTACCTCTGGTTATCAATCAGCCCTGTCTGTCCCGTAAGGATCGACTGCTGGAACCCTCTAGTCAGTGAGTGCCTTCTACACGCAAGCAAAAGGTCTTGCACCTGCAGAACAGAATTGCTCGCATTGTGACCGAATCTACCACTACATTTAAATTTAAATGAAACATCACATCTACGCAGTCTTTCAGTTCAGCGTATGCCACTCGAGCCTTGGGTATGCGTTCGGTCGCCATACCATACCATCATTTGTCAGGCAACTGTCTAGGTAGGAAAAGCAATCCACCATTGTCCATTCCTGAACTAGTTTCAGAAGAGAGCTAGCTAATCGACACCCAGTTTTATAGCATCAATTTGCACTTTGAAGGAACAACAGAACTTGTTAGTCTACCCAGTTCACCATTTACATCCCTTTTACATTTGAAAATATAAAAATTCCTCAGCTTACTCCAAGCCAAGCTGTTTTTTCCACTTGCTCATCCAGTGCCTACATTTTGGAAACCACCTTGTACAATCCCCAATATTTCATGTTCGACGAAATTGAGTGAGAATGACGAAATAGGTCACCCTTGACGAACACCGCTGCTAGTTCCAAACGATTTGCTCAGTTCGCCGTCGACCCTTATGCTGCCCTTGAGTGACGCGAGTACACTGCATACAATAGATTGGTACATTTATGGGACGTTTCGTTGCGCAGAAGTGAACCAAATAAAGGTAGATCAATCCCGTTGAACACAGAGAATCGATCGACTATATGTGTGACCTAACCAAAGCACTTGAAGTAACTTGAAGATTTTTTTTATTACACACATTTATGTGATGAACAGCAGACAAGCGAACCCCATATTTACAAAGATCTGCTGTCCAGTGATGGAAATCGTTAACCTAAGACCCGGGACTTGGAGGGGTGAACCAAATAAGGCCCCACCAGGTTAGACACAATATTGAACAGGGCGACGGTGAAGCTGCCTACCACCAAAGTTGATCGGCGGTGGTGGGGCTGAACTCTCGGACCATAGGGTCCAAAACTTGGTAAGTACAACCGCAACTCGATCGAACTCCCACCTGCTGTTCGCGGATGTTAGTTGTTAGGTGCTAAAGTGCCATCCTTTAGTGGTTTCCTTAGTCTTCGCGTGGTCGCTTCTTGAATACAGAAATGATCAGTGATTCGCCTTCGGATGAAAGAATACGCTCCTATGGCCACATGCGATGCAACGAAACATTTACAGAACATTCAACGGAGCCATCTCTCATCTTGAAAAGAATGAAGATGTCCATGAAGTTCAGTTGCCTTAAATACCTGAATACAGGTTCGTTAATTCTGTTGATGATTCGCATGACACCACCCATAGCGCTTCAGCTTCAACAGTTGGAGAGGGGTTTTAGAGTCCCCAGTACTGGTAGCTATCGAGTTCAGGAACATGCCATGTTCCTGTCGTACAGTTAATTTTCTTTGGTTCGCATCAGTCATCCGACACTCAATTGTGTATGGCAACGGCCACATCCCCGTAACCGCCTGGTAGGTGGGTTAAACTAGACGGGGCTACCTGCCCTCCTCGGAACATGGTTAGTCGCAGTTTCATCCATTCATGTGAAGCAGTTCCGATAACTCAAGTAACCTCCGAAATATCCTAGTTAGCACCGGTCAAACAAATCACCCTTCGAAGTAGAAAACCCAGCAGTTAAGCTGCTGTTCTATATTTTGAATAGTCTATCCACTTACTGCTGATTGTTTCGTTGACAAGGGTCCATCGATCTCCGTTATTGCATGTAAGCTGAAATAACCTTTGGATATTCCATGAGGCAGCGGCCACTTCAATTTCATTGGATTTTTTGTTCGCCTATTCTCGGAGTTCTTCTTGGGGCTTTTCGTGAGTTGATTGTGCAGACTGTCTGATCTGAAGTATGCAAACGATATTGTGATGCTAAGCGAAGATGCAGGTAAGTTGCAAGCTTTTCTGGAAAGTTTGAGTGCTAGTGTAGCCATGTTCGGTACGCGTCTTGCACCTCCAAAGTGTAAAATGTTAGTACAAGACTAGGTTGCTCCTGCATCCAGCTTCACCCTAACTAGGGAAGTAATAAAGCAAATAGACAAATTTTTGCTATCTGGGCAGCTATATCTCACCCGTTGGACGCATCACGGATGAAGTGTCAGCTCGCACACAGAAGGCTCGATTGACATTTGCCAACTTGAGACATCTGTGGCGCCGTCGCGACATCCGGCTGTCTGTGAAGGGTCGAGTGTGTGCTGCGGCAGTTCGGCCAGTTCTTCTATACGGCGCAGAAACTTGGCCATTAAGGAAACAGGATAAATATAGACTGTCAGTGTTCGAATACCGTTGTCTACGCAGCATTGCACGAATCTGGTGGGGCATCCGGCCAAGCAGCACTGAAGTTAGTGTAGAGTTTTAGATATTCGCGGTCGTCCATTGGAGCAAGTGGATAGATAATAATAATTCGCTCAAAAGTTTTAAGTAGTACTGAGAATGAAGCGGTACACTGGAACTTATCATTTTCTTTTTTAGGTACTGGATTGATATTAAGATCACGCCATATGTCAATCAGTCTACCTTCTGACGGAGATATATTAAAGATGAATGAAACAATTTGTGCGAGTTGGCCAGCACGTGTTTTAGAACCACTGAGGACAACCCATCAGGACTGGAGAATTTATTTCTGTTGATAGCATTAAACTCCTTTAAAACTTGCTCTGTTGTGACAGTCGCAGGAGAATGGAGATCAAATGACGTACTTGGTCTCGGCAATGCTTACACAATGTTGTTCACTGTGGCAAAAGATCTACTGAGCCTGTTGATGTCACATGAAACTGTAGTAGGTTGAGGTGAACGACCTCAGCGACTGCAGTCCGTTTCATAGTTGACGGCAGGGTTTGTTCCGTAGCACGGTGTCAACATACCATTGATTGAGATAGGCTATCTCTCTTTTGATGTGAAACTTGACGGATTTGACAGTCAGCTTATCTTTTGAGTGATATGCCTTCTTTTTCAGCCTACGTAACCATTTCAGTCTATCAGAGATGAAGCGTTTAAGCTGTAGGTGAATCCTAACTTGAGGACAGTACTCATCATAACAGAATGTGAGATATTTGGTGAGGTTTTCACAGAGGACTGAAATATCGGGATCGAAACGTAGTTCTAAGTTCATACAGGCAATCGTCGATTCTAATTTCATCAAATTTTTGGTGGTGTTGTTGCATACGTATCTTACGCGCATTGTTCTCGCATCCGATCTGTTGGAATTACCAACAACGATGAAAACAAATTTGACAGACTTCTCCAACATAATTAGGTAATAAGATATACCAGGAGAATAGGTAAATCATTAGGATTACAGTCAAGAGTGATGTAGAGATGTGAGATGATGATCGAAGAATGGCACATGAGAAAACGCGATTTGCATTCTACGGTAATACAAGAAATGTTTTTACAGTAAGTAAATATGCATTTGGTAGAGCTACACAGCGATTGGAGCACATATGTGATGACACCGCCACCGTTTGTATTCCTTCCTGGTACTCTATCTGCACGAAATGCATGGAAGTCTTCGATCTCAACTGATTCGTCCTCGACCGATTCTTTTAGCTGAGATTCGGTAACAACTTTAGAACTATTCGCTGTTGTAAACCAGAAAGCCGATGTCTGATAACCTTGAAAGAATTGAGCAGACCTTCGACAAGAAAATGATAGAATAACCAGTGGTCTTTATGTTTGTGCTCTAATACAACTTTCCAACCAGCACGATGTTTTCTCCGTTTTACAATTGTATTTCTGATGCTCATTTTAACTTTATTTCTCACAAAATGAGCAAAAGCACGTAAGGACGTGTCGTTGATGTTTTCCACATATAGTTGTATCGTAGTTAAACTGAGCGCGTTGTAGGTAATTATCAAGGCCACCGTAATTAATACGAAAGTGAATCCGAAGGTAATATGTAGTGGAAAAAGCCAGAGCTTTAGCGATAAAAAAATAGCACGGCCAAATTTACAGGCCCCGCTCACTCATCTTTCGAGTCTTTGTTATTTGAGAAGTATGCCTCACAAATCATTTAACCCAATCTAAACAAACTTTGAAAAATCTAGAGTTCAGCAGTGTTATCCGAAAGGCAGTAATGTAAAAAAGAATAACCATGTTCTTGGATGAATCTCGAGGTTAAGATCATTCAACTCTTGACACTTCTGACGGTTAAACACGCGAATCGCCTGTATCATGACATTTCCCAGTTAGGGCGTTCCGTATTATCATATAAATTTTTAGATTGGTATCTATTTTTATTATAGTTGTACGCACCGAGTACATTTATTTTTATCAGAATGGGTTACATGATTTGCATACACTTGTTGCAATGTCATCCGTGTCAACGGTCGCATGGACACAGTTGTACTATCGTGCACACTTCTGTTGAGGTTACCCCTTATTTGCGATGCGCTGTAGCAAAATGATCTTCTGACCGCGGTGTAGAGCAAACAAAATCCTTTTTGGTGTAAATCAGTTTTTGTCCTATACAGTTGATGTTAATCTATGCTGGCCTATATCCTTATTCCCACTTTCTTGAATTCCAGGTATGAGCCCGGCGAAAACTGGGACAATAAATTTGCCAGTCTTTCCTCATCCATTGAAGAATGTCGTGCCGAATGTGTTGGTGTTTATCTATGTGATTTACCGGAAGTGCTTAAGTTCTTCGACCCAGAAGCGGCCAAGAAGCCTGATAATGTGGTTCCCGATGTAGTTTATGTCAATTGGTTGAGCATGATCCGATCCGGTGTAATGTCTATGGAGTTCTACTCTCCTGCAGAAAACTTTGGTGACACGGGTGCATGGCGTCAGGCCCATTGTTGTGCACGTTATGCCATCCTTCGAGTGAGTTTTTCTTTATCAGACACGTGGGCAACACTTGTCCATAAAGAGAGTGTTTCAACATTATATTTTGCATTCAGGATAGTATACAATATAGCTGGATATAGTATGGAGCTCGGGGAGCACACCAACATCACCATACGATAAACTATCCATACGGGGAGTGTTTCGCACCAAGCACCGCATGCCGAGTTTCCTAGTATGTCAGGAACAACGGTTGAACTTGACACACTGCTCTAATCGTTTTCATGATATTTGTTACTGGGACAAAAAGACAGGCATAATTTAATTGACCTGAAATATCACAATGTTGCCAATATCTTTTCAGGTCCTTCTAGAGGCTGATCCATGTATGGTTCGCCTCGAAGAGATCGTTGGCGCAGACGGAGCACCGGATTTGTTAATCTCCGTGGACCGGGATAAGCTCAAGACAGTCGCCAAACCGGCAATCGGGGCATTCTTGAATAAACTCCAGGTATTTAACGGAATATCGGTTTTCACAATATTACTTTGTCAATTGTGCTGTTTTTTGCCTATAACTTTACATCAATAAATTACTTTGCGTTTCATTGCTATTCGTCAATAGTGAGGTGTGCTCTATATGCTTAGTGTTTGTTTATATCGATTTCCCTTCTGTTCTGTCCATAAATCTCATGTGCTCTTGTCTACTCCTCAATTTGAATGTTGAACCCTTTTGTTCGATAGATTCACCACTGTCTGGATCAATTATTTGCCTGTGTGGATTATCGGTAGGATTGTCGGTTCTCGTGGACGAATAGCAGTAGGTCCTCGTGGTTGTAAGGTTCATGCACTTGTAATAATAATATTTGCTACCGAAATGATGATCGTCGCGTTTCGGTTCTTGTCCTTTATTGCAGTATTACAAAAGTACAGCAAATGCCAAAGATGGGACTGCATTCTTTCTTAAGTACTCTGAGTTACTACCGGAGCATTTACCGTTACGAAAAATTGTGATCGATCGTAAACGACCTCGACCACTGATGGTCCAACCGCTGATTTGCGAAACATCCAATGGAATAGAAATGGTTCCGTATCCGGCGACATATGCTGGTCTCATTGAGTCCTTCATCGATCGTTTCTCTCGTCTCCCTTTGGGACCAAAAGCGCTGGAGGCGTTGGAGATCGTGTGGCGCAATGATCAACCATACTTCAAAGACATCCCGGTTTGAGCAATATTTTATACCGTTTTCTGCTCGTTTTCTTTGTATTTGTTGCTATTCTGCCGCAAAGTACGGTGCAATACCATATATGCCTGTTAAATGGATCAGTCACCTATGTTTTTGATCACCGAATGGGAGTTTGCCGAGACCAATATAACGGCTATTGTTTTCATCGTGTTCGTTTAAATGGTATATATGAACTGTATTGTGGCTCACCGAAAGCTGTGCTCGTGGTGTGTAATATGGTAATCCAGTTCAAATAAATAATCACAGTCCGAAAGCCTCTCTGGGGTCTTTGGTTTTGAATGATCACCTCCCTTGTACTTAGCGAAATACTCCTATAATACCAAGTGACTCAAACAATCGCTGCTGAAGAAACCCTTCCCATTAAATTGACGTAGCGGAGGTGTTTCTCCATCGATATTCATTTTCTTGGGTCTGGGAAACCGGGCAGTAATCTACCCACGATCAAATCATGGACCGATTTCTTTGTATAAAGATTTTTGTACCGTAATTTGTTTGGTGCATAGTTCGGACTAAGATGTTTGTGAAATGTAATATAATTACAGTTCCAAGACTGATTTTCTCAACATCGAAGTGAGTGAAATGCATCAGGAAGGACTGATAATGGGGGATATCCGGAAATGGAGTTGTGCCTGTATCGTATCCTGTCACTGGTTTTTAGTCAGACTCACTAATTGTTGTTTACCGTTGCTGTACCACAGTGCAGAGGAAAAAACAACATTTCAGATGAACAATTTCCTGATTGTGTTCCGTTCGTTAACGAGCTTTGCCAACACCATAGTTTGTGGGTTTCTATCAAACTGCTGCACATGTATTTCATGGTAGGAAATATATACTGTGTTCAGTATTATTCATCTTATGCTAAACGGATTATTGTGACGAAATTATTTCGATATTCACTGGTTTATTACCAAATGTATATACATCTCACACACGTCTGGAGCCAGACTGTGTCAAACAAATCGTGGTACAATAATCCCCATAAAAAGAAAAACTTTCCATGATTTTGCATGTGAGCGGAATACTGCCAGGTTGCCCAGGCCAAAGCAGGTGAATTTTCTTGAGGAATCCACAACGGGAGCCTTCGACTAGCCAAAGCCTGACCCGCAAGGCAGCGGGGAGCTGAATGAAAACCGTTATCCATTAGGAACCGGCGTCCAGTTCATTGGTTCATACGCCCCTTCGGACGGGGTCAAACGTCCAAGGTGCCCAATACATCTTGATACCAAATTGAGCCGGTGATCACTGCCACAACCGGGAGGGTGTATGTGTGTTGTTCGTACGCCTCCTCTTGGTTGGTTTGGAATTAAGGTTTTTGGGAACTCCCTATAGGTGAACTACCAGTGGTCCATCAACTCGGATATCGGCTTTTTGTCCTCTCACTTTGGTAGGAAAGCACCTCCGCCACGAGAAGGCAGTGAGTAGGGCTTCCTCAGCAGAGGCTATTTGAGACGCTTGGTCGTATGGGAGCGAGATGCAAGGGAATGGTGACCAACCGCAACCCTAGACACCCACCCCCTCATTATCGNTTCAACCCAGTCTCTGGGTTTCGCTAATGCCCATCGTATATCTGCGCGATCCAGGAGTTTGGAGTTTATTTGTTTCTCCACACGGGTGATGGACTCAAATCGCACTGAATGGTGCATGTGAGATTGCATGGAATAATCCGACAGTAATCTTGTGAATTAATTTGGTTCTGCGCTCGAGCTTTTAGCCATCTACAATGTAGCTCGCGGTGTGGGTATCGGCCCGCGATCCGGGACTTTGCCGTTCGACTTCCCCACAGAGAGAGGTGCGTACCACTAAATCATCTCCAAAAGACACCAGTTATCCATTAGTTTTCGTCTGTCCTTCAGAACGGACTCGTAAATTTCAATAAAAGTTAAGAGCTGTTCTATAGGTGTCCTCCTTGTAAACAATTGCATCTTTGGAACAGTTAATCCATTGTCTAATTGGCGCTCACAGAAGAGTTATGCCTCTTTCAGTGATGCCTTCCATCGTTTAGAAACAATCAAATTACTTATGCGATTTTAGCCGACAGACCATGTGATGCGTATGTCTCAACAATCCCCGTCCAGAATCTTCCTAACGGGTTTGGTAAAGATAATTCACTAATGATAACTCAACAGGACGAAGTAACTGTGTGATTGGTGTAATGGTGTGACAGTACAAAAAACAATGCGAGAAGTTATTTAATCCCCTTGTTGCCTAACTATTGGTGATGACAATAAGAGTTCTCACATTCCACGCGCCACCGCTAATTGTTTATGATTGTCAAGTTTCAAAACAAAATCGATCTACGATATTTGTACTCCAGTTGCAAGCTTTTGTAATGGGTAGAACTATCATGCATGCCCACCATTGGGTTCATTTTTGTCTCTTTCACTAACATTTTTATTTCCATTCCTAATGTTACCGGCAACAGTTCATTGGGATGCATCGTTTACATGCAACTCTCCCTATCGGGGCCTTATGTGGTTCGCCACTCCAAGTTTCGGGGCTTAGGAGGCCGATTTCAACCACTGAACAGCAGGTCCTCGTGACTATGGGATGAACCCCGTCTGCTGTTCATCACACCTAGGTGTGCAATAAAAAGAAGATAAGTATCCAGCTACTGTGCTGGTACAAGAAGCTGTGCAGCCATTTGGAAAACTCTTTCTCATTTGTCCAGTCTTTCTCCTCACTCCCACATCTTCGAAGATGCCCTCTGTTTTCATCGCCCATGGGATATCACTCAGCTATCAGAAGCTATCAAATTATTGAAACCAAAATCTTCTTCTCACTTGGCCGTATTTAGTATTCGCACACTACCAAATCGGTCAACAAGCTGCCTTAGCTCGAACCCTTGAAACTTTCAATTCAAATGTATGCTGTCTCCGAGACTCGCATATAAGACCCTACTTCAATCACCACCTTAAGATCTTCAGATCTGACCTCATACTCAAGCTTCACTCTTCGTTTGTCAGGTGATTCGGCATCCGAAGCTGGCGATTTTGCTGGTGTCCGGATTGCGTCTAGTGTCAAGACCGAGCGTTTTTACTTTCTAACTTCCCGTTTGGTAGCCGACTGTGAGAGCTGTACGTTTGAATGATTCAGTAGAGATCAACAGCTAGAAGACAAATCGTCGTTGCTTCGTATCCGTGAATGCGCCGACCGATCTCAATTCGTCAAATGAAGGACTCATTGTACAAGGA